CATGAAATTTGTATACATCTTTGACGGACACTCCTACTTTTCAATTAATTAACTTGTAACTGTTCATCCTGAGGTAAGTGATTTTTGCCATCACAATGCTATATCATTTAGATATGCTGGCCTGATTAGTGGCTGTTTAAACAACATTTAGATTCTGTAAAGCTGAAAAAAAATAATTATGAAGTAAAGTTTAGGGAAGAACAAAAATATTAATTTTCCATTCCATAGTGAGGCAAAGTTAAAGATTTCCAATAATGATAAATTATATATTTGTACAAATATATGTGCACATTACCAACAGCCAAGCCAGCCATGTTACAAAGAAAATATAATGCAAGTGACATGTCAAGTTGGTATTATACATTTCATTGTTTCAAAAGATTTACAAAATACATTCCATTAGGATATATCTACACTTTATTCCTCTTGAGAGAGAGAGAGAGAGAGAGAGAGAGAGGACACCCAAAATCACAAATGAAGCGGGGAATTTAAATATCCTACACTTCATTTGCATAATCATATTGTGGCACTCTTGCGAAACAATGCTATTTCGAGAGAAAAAATGAGGTTATTTTGAGATACAACGCTTCCCTCGAAGTATCCCTTACGCCTCATTTTTTGAGCACTGCAATAAATGGGAGAGCAAGGCCTTTTTTATACTTATCTGCAAGGTCAAATTAAGATACACAGCTCCAGCTACATTAATGGTATAACTGGAGTTAACATACCTTAATTTGACCTATGGCACCATCTCCACAGTGGGAGGTTGACAGGAGAAACCTCCTGTCGTTTTTCCTAACTCCTCGTAAGGAGCAGGAGTTTCAGCGTTGTTGGGGGTACCCTTAGCAAACATATTAGTGGGTCTTGACTAGACCTACTACATTTAACTTCTGAAGATCAGCTGCTACAGTGTTCATCTTCTGGGCAGTAATGACAAGTGTCAGTCTTCCATAAAGTTACAAAGAGGGCATCATCCCAGAGTCTTCACTGTGTGCGTGTGCGTGTGTGTGTGCGTGCACGCACTTTCCTATTAAGATTATGGCAAACTCGATGAAGGAGTTTCCTCTATGCTGGGTGGTTGTTTCCCCTGAATAAATGCCCTGAAGGGAGTGCTGTATTTTAGAGATGTCCATCTTTGTCACTGTTTAAAGCAAATAAATCCCCTTTAATGCATTTCATTCTAAGACACCTGGCAGATTTCTTATATCTGGATGGATGTGAAACTCAGCACAATGCTGAGTGACTCCCATAGTATATTTTGTAACGATGATCTTTATTATGTATATTCTTCTAACTGAAATCTTTGTAACCCCTTAACTGGCCGAATATCAGCCCTATATCAGCCATAATGTTAGACTCCAGAATCTAACTTAAAAGGCACTTATCCAGATTGTTCCGTAGTCTGTATTGGAAACATCACTTTAAGATTTAGAAAAATAACAATCGTAAGGCAGTATTCTACTTGTCAATTATGTAATTATACAAACCCAAACACCTTGCCCTGGTCCCTGTTCCACCCCTTCTTTGAGGCTCTGCCCTGCTGGCTCCATCCTCTTCCCTCTGTCACTCACTCTCCTTCACTTTCACTGGGTGGGGGCAGGAGGCTGAGGTTCAGGAGGGAGTGTGGGGTGCAAGCTGTGAGAGGGAACTTAGGGGCTGGGGGGGCATTGTAACGACTGGGGCAGACGTGTGCAGGCCCAGGAAGGGTGCTCAGAGCAGCTGATTGAGGTGCTGGAGAGAGTGAGAGATATGGGGTCTGGAAGGAAGTTTGAGTGCAGAAGGGGGCTCAGGACAGTGGCTTGGGATGTGCTATCAAATGCTGAGGCAGATCTTATAAAACAAGTCTATAGTGTAAAGCTACAATTATATTATGTGAATTAATATTGGATGTGCAGGCCCAGGAAGGGTGCTCAGAGCAGCTGATTGAGGTGCTGGAGAGAGTGAGAGATATGGGGTCTGGAAGGAAGTTTGAGTGCAGAAGGGGGCTCAGGACAGTGGCTTGGGATGTGCTATCAAATGCTGAGGCAGATCTTATAAAACAAGTCTATAGTGTAAAGCTACAATTATATTATGTGAATTAATATTGGAGTACCGGTACTTTTTGTTTTGTTTTCCTTTCAGCGAATGTTTTTCCCGTACTACTAAAGCAGGGGTGGGAAATAATTTTGGGCTGGGGGCCACTTCAAAAATTTTTGAAGTGTCCCAGGGATGCCTGGAAGGGGCGGGGCCTAAACCAGAAGAGGGGTGATTGATCTGGGGCTGGGAGAGCCCCTTTGCCCCCCCTTCCCACTAGGCACCCATGCCCCTCGCAGGGTGGAAAGAGGCTTCCCACGCTCCCCCATCCCCAGGCCAATCAGGGAAACCTCTTACACAAAATTTTGCTCCAGTAGTGGCAGTGATTGGGGCACGGAGAGCAGAAGGGAAAATAGTTATAAAAAAGAAAATGGGTTAGATCTTCAGCTAGTGTAAATCACCAGTGATCTATTCTAGCCAGCGTTCCCCTAACTGAGAAGTGTTACACTGGGTGATCATCCCACAGTCTTCATGAGTGTGAGCGCATGTGAGAGAGAGAGCGTGAGTGAGAGAGAGCGCATGAGCGAGTGTGAGCAAGTGAGAGAGTGAGCAAGTGAGAGAGAGTGAGTGTGAGCGTGAGAGACTGTGTGAGTGAGAGCGTGAGAGACTGTGTGAGTGAGTGTGAGAGATATTCACCCATTACAATTATGGCATTCTAGATGGAGTCCCTCCATATTAAGTAGTGGTTTCTGCGTGAATAAATGCCAGGAAGGGAGCACTATATTTCATTGTAATTGTCTAGTTTTATCACTCTTTAAAGCAAATAAATCATCTTTGATAAATTTCATTTTAATAAATCTGTTTCTTCTGTGGGTGTGAAATTCAGAGCGACGCGGTGTGACTTGAATGGCATATTTTAAATCGCTGGGGGACCTCTGGACCACTTGCTGGACATGGTTCATCAGGGTTCATGGCTGGCAGGCTCCTGGATGCTTTATTTACCTGTGCATTTGCAAACACGGTGCCCCACAACTCCCCATGGTGCAGTTTGCCATTCCCACTCAATGGAAGGTGAGGGACAGTAGCGTAGCCCTGCACCACTTCTCTGAGTTCTTAATGGCCGGGAATGGCATATTGCAGCCACTGGCAGTGGCCTTTCCTGCAGATGCTCAGGTAAAGAAACCATCTCCTGGCCCACCAGCAGCCGTTGCTGACAAACTGTATCCAGCCCATAGGCCAAAGGTTCCCTACCCATTTTTGAAATGATTATCTTTTTATGTCTGTTCCTCTGATTGTAATAATGGCAATTGCTTTACTGTTTTTATATTTGCCTGTATTGTTATGTAACCTACAGAAAGTAACATTATAAAACACTCTTCCAGATTATATTGCATGCGATTTATTGGAAAAATTACTTGAAGATTTAGAAAATGAACAGGTGTTGGGCAATATAAATGCATTTTGTATATAAGAAGGCTATAAATCTTTTAAGGCCATGGTAAAAACTAAGAAACAGTTAAAAGTAACTCACATTCCCAATCAAACCTTAATAAAAAGGTGCAGTCAGACGTTTACAAAGATTTTGAAATTCCCATGGTGAAACTGCTAATACCCTAATGGTAATTTATGAAAGACACAGACCTAAATTTACTGGCCTGCTTTTACAGGTGTTTTGAATTGCTTTGCTGAGGCAAAACCAAGTTTACAGCGTGGCATAACTAGAATGGCGCCCTCAGCTAAAATGGGCCAATTAATCTAGCTGAGAATGTCTAGAAAAATGTCAGTTGTGGTAAAAGAAGGGACTTTGTACTGTTGAGGCCATGAGGCTAGGTAAGGAAAATGCTGAGAAGTCAAGTACATGTTATTTCATGTGATGACCATTTCTAGAATGGTATTAAGAGCTTCCAGAACAAAGCCACTAGCAAGACATTACATGAATGTGAATTGAGGTACATTGGTAAGCAAAACAGCTTGTCTCGCCCTGTACGTCATAATCACAAAAGTGACATTTCGTTCTGTACTTCATAAAATTGATTTTAATATTCAGTAGCCATAGCTCAAAATAAGACATGATGTTAAATGACACATGCTTGGATCACTGCTACTGAATACTATGGTTATGTTATAAGGTAAATCTATAGTGTAAAGCTAAAATTATATAATGTGAATTAATATTGGAGCACTTTTTGTTTTGTTTTACTTTCAGCATGGCTACGTCTACACTGGCCCCTTTTCCGAAAGGGGCATGCTAATTTTCCAGGTCGTAATAGGGAAATCCGCGGGGGATTTAAATATCCCCCGCAGCATTTAAATAAAAATGTCCGCCGCTTTTTTCCGGCTTTTAGAAAAGCCGGAAAAGAGCGTCTACACTGGCCCTGATCCTCCGGAAAAAAGCCCTTTTCCGGAGGATCTCTTATTCTTACTTTGAAGTAAGAGATCCTCCGGAAAAGGGCTTTTTTCCGGAGGATCGGGGCCAGTGTAGACGCTCTTTTCCGGCTTTTCTAAAAGCCGGAAAAAAGCGGCGGACATTTTTATTTAAATGCTGCGGGGGATATTTAAATCCCCCGCGGATTTCCCTATTACGACCTGGAAAATTAGCATGCCCCTTTCGGAAAAGGGGCCAGTGTAGATGTAGCCCATATGTTTTTGCCATATTGCTAATGCATATATGTTTTTTTTCTTAACCAAATAGAACCCAGTGCAGTTGTTGGTCTCAAAGCCATGTACATAATGACAGAAGTGACATTTTGTTCTGTTCCCCATGAAATTGGTATTAGTATTCAGTACCCATAGGTCAAAATAAAACATGAAGTTAAATGATAGATGTTTAGATCACTGCCATCAAATGCTGTGGTAGATCTTATAAACTAAGTCCGTAGTGTAAAACTACAATTATGTGAATTAATACTGGAGTATTTTTTGCTTTGTTTTCCTTTCAGTATATATTTTTGCCATATTACTAATGCATATGGTTTTTTACCAAACAGGACCCAGTGCAGTTGTTGATCTCAAAGTTGCAAATGTCAGCACAGAAAGTATAACTTTGACTTGGGAAAACAGAGATCTTCATTCTTCTAATTACACTTATACAATACTCTATGGAAGTAAGAGAAATTCATCTCGAGAGAACACCACTTCCTCAAACAAGTCTGCTACCATTACAGGATTACAACCTGGTACCTTGTATGAAATTAAGGTCTTTGCACAAGTTGCAGGGATTGAAGGAGAGTCTACCCCCATAGGAACCTGCACAAGTAAGTCATTGAAACCTCTTTCAAGAAAACATCCTGAAATTATAATCTGTCATCTCAACATCTGTCACCTTTATAAATGTCATGACATTTCTCTACTAACTTCTTATTCCTTCCCTTCTATATAGAGAGAGGCAAAATCAAAGATTTCCAAGAATTATAAATTCTATTTGTTTTATGTTTTATGCGTTATAAAACATATATATAAATGACCAATAATCAAGCCAGCCATGTTGCAAAGGATAAAACAAAGCAAATTAAATGACTGTAAAATAGTTATACTGGATTAAGTAAATACTCACGAATTGTTATGGATATATCTACATAAACATAGGTTGATACCATGCATTCCACTGTTTTGTATGTTTCACAAAACACATTCCCTTAGAGACATGGTTTGATGAAAACTTAGGGTGTGTCTAGACTATTGAGTTTTGTCAACAAAAGTGGACTTTTGTCGACAAAACTATACCTGCGTCTACACTACCGCTGAGTTCTGTCGACATAACGTCGACAGAACTCAGCAGTTTTGTCGACGCTGGTAAACCTCATTTTACGAGGCATAACACCTTCTGTTGACAGAGTTCTGACGACAGAAGGTGTTATTGCCTGTAGGGTTGCGTCTAGACTACAGGGTTTTGTCGACGGAAGTTTTGTCAACAGATACTGTCGACAAAACTTCTGTCGACATAGAGCGTCTAGACACATTCTGTTCTGTCGACAAAGCAAGCTGCTTTGTCGACAAAACCCTGTAGTCTAGACGTACCCTTAGTAATGTTTGGAAGATTATTTTTATGTCACTGTGTAGCCAATTCTGCAGTCCTTCCTGACATGAATTCTTGCTTTAGTTGGGGAAGTGATTGGGGCTCTGAATGGTTATATAAAAGCAGCATAAACAGAAGATTTAAAATGAGAGGGGGAAAACACCTTGAAAAATACTCCAGAAAAAATAAATGTTAAAAAGAAAAAGGGTTAGATCCTCAATGTACATCAACAAAGATTAATTGAAGCCAGTGTTCCTGTAGCTGAGGATTTGCAGCAGTCAAATTCAATTAGTGCTCTAATAAATAAGGGTATGTCTATATTACCCCCCTAGTTCGAACTGGGGGGGTAATGTAGTCATACGGAGTTGCAAATGAAGCCTGGGATTTGAATTTTCTGGGCTTTATTTGCATAAAGCCGGCTGGCGCCATTTTTAAATGCCGGCTAGGTCGGACCCCGTGCCGCGCGGCTACACGCGGCACGGACTAGCTAGTTCGTATTAGGCTTCCATAAGGCGTACAGCTAGTTCGGATAGGAAGCCTAATCCGAACTAGCTAGTCCGTGCTGCGTGTAGCCGCGCGGCACGGAGGCCGCACTAGCGGACATTTAAAAATGGTGGCGCCCGGCTTTATGCAAATGAAGCCCGGGAAATTCAAATCCCGGGCTTTACCCCCCCTAGTTCGAACTAGGGGGGTAGTATAGACATACCCTAAGAGAGTAAGTGCTAAAATGGGGGATCATCCCACAGTCTTCACTGTCTAGTCACGCTGTGTGTGTGTGACAGAGAGCTCTTTTCCCATTATGATTATGGCCCTCTTGGTCAAGCAGTTTCCCCTATGTTGAGTGGTTGTTTCTACCTGATAAATGTCCAGAAGGGAGTGGTACGTTTCTCTGAAGTTGTCCATCTTCATCACTGTTCTTGAATCTTATTCATTTATATTTGATAACTTCCATAGGCATTTTGTCCAGTAGATATTTATGCGATATCATTTAGCATTTCTGATCTGCTAGAGCATGGATTGTTTTTTTGTTTGTTTTTGTTTTTTGTTTAGTTGCTATGTGGGTTCAGAGAAAACATTCCTTTTCATTTGTTCTCAGGGGAGCTAACAAAGATGGTTTTTGCCTGCATTTGCACAGCTTGCTGTTGTACATAAGTATTCAGGAGTCTTGTTTGTCCTGGCAAGAGTGTTATCCTACATTGAACAAGGCCAAGGCATGTGTATAAGGGACCTTTTACCCTTTTTGAATTCCCATGATGTTTATTTGTAGATTTTGAGGGAAGTTCAATTCATACATCTTCAACAGCCTACCCCCCAGACTGAAGTCTATACAATGCTTTCATCTGCACCACAGGCATGTATATTGTAGTCCACACTACCACATCACACAATAACTGAGGTGTGAGGACTTCCTGGCATACATTCAAAGTTCCCTATTCATAGAATCATAGAACACTAGAACTGGAAGGGACCTCGAGAGCTCATCAAGTCCAGTCCCCTGCCTTCATGGCAGGACCCAGTACTGTCTTAGACCAAGGGCCAACCCGCAGCTCTTCAAAGGACAAATTGTGGCTCCCACACCCATGGCTGTTCTGCATTCCCCTGCTCTGACCTTTTTTCTGGTCAGGGTGCCGCTTAGGGCAACGAGATCTGACACTGTGGCCGACAGAAGCCTGCTTGGACCACATGTGGCTCTTAAAGGGGCAGTGTTTTTTTGGGGGGGGGGCGGGTTGCTGCCCAGTGTCATAGAATTATAGAATCACAGAACACTAAAAATGGATGGGACCTCTGCCCTCATGACAGGATCACCCTGGGTCTAGACCATCCCTGATAGATGTCTCCCACCCCGGGTCTAGATCATCCCTGATAGATGTCTCTCTAACTTGCTCTTAAATATCTCCAGAGATGGAGATTCCACAACCTCCCTAGGCAACTTATTCCAGTGTTTAAACAACCTTTTGTGTGTTCATGTAGTACTGTGTGAAACTGGACCATGTTAACAGGACTAGTGATATTACTAGTGAACTTTTAGTGAGCGCCATGGGACCCATATGGGCCAGTTACACCAGAAAGATGTCAAGGATGTGGACTCAAGCACCATGTAGATCTTAAACACACTAGATACAACTGCCCACTGGCATGAATAGGAAATTCGATATTTTCTTAAATTGTTGTAAGGTAAATTCTGTTTTCTTCCAGTTAATTATCAGTCATTTAACAGCACAGTGTAAATTAACCCAAAAAACACACGCCAAACTGAAGGGGTGAGGGTGTGGGCTAGCCTCTTCCCACCAGCCCTTCAGTGCTTCCTGGCCCACAGCTTCCATGGCTCTGGTGGTGATTTAAAGGGCCAGGGGTTCTTGCTTCTGTCATGGTAGCAGCGGCTGAGAGCCCAGGGCCTTTTTAAATTGAGGCCAGGGGTTCTTGCTTCTATCATGGTAGCAGCAGCTGAGAGCCCAGGGCCTTTTTAAATTGCAGGGCCCCAGGGCAGCTGTCCCCTTTACCCCCACCCCGTCCATGGGGTCTATTCCTTCTGCTGATTGAAGTAAAACAAAACATTTTTGCCAATCTACATAATAACGTATGTTTGAGTGCTCACATATTGTGTATGTGGAAACCATTAACATCTCGACACTGAGACGCTAGATAAAAGCATGTGAAATACTCTCAAGAAAATTCAGAATATAAATGTGCGTGTGTATACCTTCAGCTCAACTTGTAGCTGTTTTGCAGTGTTCAGGCACTGAACAGCACCTGGAAAGTGCCCTTAATAGGTATTTTTAGATTCCTCTGACTCTTCAATGGATTCATTGTCTTGTGTTCTGTCTGATAACTCATAGATAGCTGACATAGTTCTCTTGCACTTTTGAATGTGGTTGGAAAGTCTGTGCTTTATCAAATACTATTTGTATGGCAGTTTTTCATGCCTTATAGGATAGTTCAGAATTTATCAAGTGGGATAATGGGAATCTTTCCTGGAACCCATGTCACTGGAATGCTTAAAATACTATGATCTGAATAGGAAGCTGAGAAACAGAGGGGCAGATTTACTAAGATAATCAGGTACTTCTAGGGGCAAAAAGATGCCAGGTGGGATTTGCAAAAGAATCTGAGCAGGTTAAGTGCCTAGTTCCCAATGAATTGCATTCTTAGGGAAGCACTTTAGAAAACCTCACTGTAACAGTACTACGGGATTTCCAGAATTATGAGTTAGTGTGTTACCCCCTCAGCCTCTGCAAGTGAGTTTTGCTAGTGCTAAGCTTCCCGATGACTCCCTAAATACACCAACTTGGCTGTCTTGCCAGCAAACCCTTTAGGACTCTGCCAGGTCAAACCTTGCTCTCAGCATGTTACAAAAGTGAACCTCACGATCCCCAGAGATTTCCCAGTTCCCCAGAGCGTCTCCCTGCAGCATCCTCTCCTGCAATATTCACAGAAGTGAGTGCTCCAAGGGACAATATACTGTAGCCTGTTAGCTAAAAGGAGATTAACCCAACCTACCCTTCAATCAATGTACTGCATAGGTATACAAAGAAAGTGAAACACATTTATTTAACAAAAGGATTAAGTGATGCCAAGTGCAAGGAATAAAGATAGAAAGGGTTACAAGAAAACAAAAGTGAAACTCTACCTTTAAGGCTAAGGCCTGATTTAGTATGTCCAACTCCGTTCTTCAAAGCCGTGTTTCTCATCCAGTCCCTCTTCAAGCATGGCTGGTCAGAGTCTCTTGACAGGATCCTTCACAGACTTTGGAGTGCTTGATTCAGATGAAGGATCTGCATCACAATGGCTATTTCCCCCCATCCTGTGTCCTTCTGAAGTTAACTGACCTCACTTCAAGAAGCAGGAAGGCTTCCTGGGGGTGCAGTCTCCATCCTTGGTGGAGATGAAGTGCTCATTTTTCCCCACTTGCTCTCCTGATAGCTTTGTATAATTATCTTGCATGGGAATGTACATTCATTGCCTTCCTGATGGCCAGGTTGATCAGACTAGCTTATAGATATGCCTGTGTCTGGGGCACACTGTGCTTAGGCATTGCTTGGCAAACACGCTGGCTGTGTCTACACTGGGCCACTTATTCCGGAAAATCAGCCACTTTTCCGGAATAAGCTGCGAGCTGTCTACACTGGCCCTTAAATTTCTGGAAAAGCAACGATGCACTACTGTACAAAATCAGCCGCTATTCCGGAAAAACTATGCTGCTCCCGCTCGGGCCTA